TCCACCATGTGCCTCCTGCTCCCTCCTCTCTCCGCTATCTTCTTCCTCCTCCGTGCTCTCTTCCCCTCTCCACGTCATCCCAACTTCCTCGATCCCCTCCACCTACTCCCTCTCTCTCTCTCTCTCTCTCTCTCTCTCTCTCTCTTCGCCTCTCGACGTCATCCCAACTTCCTCAATCCCCTCCACGTCCTGTCCGTCATGCTCGGTCCACCTACTCTCTCTTTCTCTCTCTTTCTCTTTCTCTCGCCGCTTTTGTCTCTTTGCTTGAGAACGAAGAGGAGGAAGCGAAAGACGGCGGATACACACATCATATACAATCGCTTGGAAAGATGGAATGGTGTACACGAATGTGAAGGACGCGATGGGAAGGATGAGCACAGTTCTCAAGAGGCTCTGCTGTACGAAGGAGGGATGAAGAAGTATATTGTGAGATGGGAATACCAATCGGGAGACGTGACGAAGGAGGAGGAGGGAGAGCGCGATGATCAGATGGATGTGATCAGCATTTGAGATGCCGAGAGGGGAGGAGAGAAGGAGATTGCCTAGAGACGAGGAAAGATGAGGATGAGGATGAGAAGGGAATCACTGTAAGAAAGAGGACGATAGAGAGCGGGAAGACACAAGGACGACGCCGAAAGGGAAGAAGATGAGCAGATCCCTGCAACGGCGATACGGCCAACGATGGGCAAAAAAAAAGTGTTGGAAGAAGTGGAGACGATGGAGGAAAACGTGTTGGAAGACAGAGGAGGAGGAGGAGGAGGAGGGGGACGATGTGACGGGAGGAGAGAGCAAGGAGAAAGGTCAGCATGATGAGCACCGAGATGGTGAGGGGGGAAAAGGAGGAGGAGGAGAAGGGTGGGGAACGACGAGAAAGGAGCAAATGTATGTTGATGTCAGTGAGAAGGAGCGGGGCAATATGGTCGATCGTTGGGGAAAAAAAAAAAAACAAGGGAACGGTTTCTCTTCACATACTAGTACTATGCGAAATCTCCTGACAATCGTCTTTCTATGTTTCCATCCTTCATTCCGACGACTAGGACATCAATCAACAACACACACGCAGAGAGAGATCGAGAGAGATGGCACGAGATGGCCCTCGGATTAAACGTTTGCTGACGTGGCTTCAACTCGACTTAGCTCCCGCCACGTCAGCCAGGAGCGGCTCAGGGAAAACGTTTGCTGACGTGGCATCAACTTTTGCAGATCTCGTGCCATTCCACGAAGCGTCGGTTGACGATAAACGTTCGACAGAGATTATCCTTTTTTCTTTTTTTTTCCCCTCTTCTTTTCTTGAGACACAAAGACCACCCCCCCCCCCCCCCCCAAAAAGAAAGAGACCCAAAGACCCCGCTCGCCTATAACTCTACCTGGCATCCTCACCGCAAGTATTGTTTATTGTTTGCTCATCCTGTCCTGTTGTCATGATGCTCTAGGGCACCGCAGTCTTCAGTCCCGCAGGCAGTCCCTAGCCGCGGGCACACAGAAAGTCCCAGCCGTCTTTGCCCACAGCCGTCCCCCGTAGCGCGCCAAATAAACTTCTAATAAAGATATAGAAGACGGCTTTGCCGCTACGGAAGTATAGATATAGATAAACTTGTTCTTATAGGGGTATTTGCGAAATACCCCTATAAGTTAAGATATATGCCAAAATGCCCCTAAAACATGTGGGTCGAGCGGAATACCCCTCTGATGCAACAAATGTTTTGGGAAATGCGTCTGCCGTCGGTTGGAGCCGCCATCTTTGCAAAATACCCCTACCGGGTACTGTCCATCTTTGCAAAATGTCCCTGTACACTTTTCCCAGGCCCTATTTTATTTTCGTTTTACCCCTGTCAGCCTGGGTCATCTTTGCATTTTGCCCAATGGCCGTTTGAGGCCGATACACCCATAATGGACGCGCTTCTATATCTTTATTAGAACAAGTATAGCTATACAAGTATATAGATATAGATAAAGTTATAAAGACATAGATATAGGAAAAACGAAATTACTGAGTTTGTAAATCCCGTCATATGATATACCCACATAGCTTTTCTGAAGTCGGGTCGTTGCATGAAGTCGGGTCGTTGCATGAAAATACCTCAAGGAATGTCGCGCCGGTAAAGTAAAAAAAAAAAAAGGAGGGGGGGGGGGGGGGGAGAGGAAGAAAAAGACCGTACCTTGTCAGAAAACTCGCCTAGGCCGGTGGCAGTAAACAGAATCTCCAGTTTGACACTCATCCCAGGAGCAATCTGTCAGAAACAAACGGAGTTCAATTAACACAAAAGACAGTATCATCAGGGGAAAACCCTTGGGTAGTGTGTCAGCTGATGGCAGGTGGTTCCATTCAGTAGAAGGGGACACTTACACTCAGTCTGGGACGACTTCTTCAACCAAATAATCTGGCCCGTCGTCAGGACCAGATACGTCCAGGAAGATCCCCGGTTCTACGCTCGTGTGGCCACAATTGCGATTGGATGTATCCCATGATGACAGTATAATTGCAATCCGATTCATTCCAGTAGTGTGAGTAGAGATTCATTCCATGACAGCATTAGTGTGAGTAGAGTATAACCTAAGTGTTAATTAAGGGCTCAGCATACTCACACAAGCACACGTTAGAGTGAGCAGAGTATAAACTGAGTGTTAAAAATAAAGGGCCCAGCATACTCACACAAGCACACATTAGTGTGAGTAGAGTATAAACTGAGTGTTAAAAATAAANACTGAGTGTTAAAAATAAAGGGCCCAGCATACTCACAGAAGCACACATTAGTGTGAGTAGAGTATAAACTGAGTGTTAAAAATAAAGGGCCCAGCCAACTCACAGGAGCACATTTTAACTTAGCGCTCTGGACACTTGCATTCTTGAAATGAAAACCATTGGAGCACCCGTGGTGGGTCGTAATTGGAGCCAGATGCACCCATGGTGGGTCGTAATTGGAGTCAGAAACATCCAGAAGAGTCCTAGAGGACTGATTTACCCATTTCCCAGTGGGCACGGCTTTAGTCTGGAAATTCTCTCTGAATTCATCTGCAGTCTGCATGCATGAGGACAACTTTGCATCTTGAGTCTGGGCAAAGGTTTAAGTGGGCACTTTAGGCTGGAAATTCTCTCTGAATTCGTCTGCAGGCTTTATCAGTCTGCATGCATGAGGACACCTTTGCATCTTGAGTCTGGGCAAAGGTTCTGCACCTGCCTGTCAAGCCATCCACGTTCACTCTGACAGGGGGGGGGTGGCGTGGAATCTTCTGATTCTGCCGGGTACGGCACATACACCACACTCACACTGCGACTTTCTCGACTGAATCTGACAGCAATTACGCCCAGATTCAGGCAAATACGTTCTCTCCTACTGTGAGCGAGCACGGGCCCTAATTCACCCCAAGTTTTGGACATACTGGAAGACTGTAATCAGACACGGACTGACATGACGACGCAGCGGAACGACCGACCGTGTGACAGGGCTCTGACACTCAGCTGGAGGGAGGGAGGGAGGAAGGGAGGGGTCCAAGCATAGAAAAAGACCTCTCGGCTGAATCCACCCGTAACATGGAAGTCAACCAATTGTCAAGAAAGGAGGCCAGAGACACAAAATAACCCAGCCGGCGGAAGAGTCTAATAGCTGTCTCTTATACACATCTAGATGTGTATAAGAGACAGCAGCTGGAGGGAGGGAGGGAGGAAGGGAGGGGTCCAAGCATAGAAAAAGACCTCTCGGCTGAATCCACCCGTAACATGGAAGTCAACCAATTGTCAAGAAAGGAGGCCAGAGACACAAAATAACCCAGCCGGCGGAAGAGTCTAATAGTCAGGGACTGATCTGACGACACAGAAGAATGACAGTGTGACAGGGATCTGACACTCAGCGGGAGGGAGGGGTTCAAATTCAAACATAGAAGAGGAGACCTCTCGGCTCCATCCATAGACGAGGGTGAGAAAAATATGATGAAGGCAGGGGGAAGGAGAAAGGAGGAAGGAGGGAGGAGGAGGAGGAGGAAGGAGGGAGGAGGAGGAGGAGGAACAAGTCGAACCAATTGTGTGGCAACACCAAATAGTAATAATATTTCCTCCACCTCAATCTCTTCTCTTCTCCCGCAGCTCGGCCACAATCCATAAGTCACAGATCTCTAGTCAGGCAGCTTTGCCCTCAACACATCAATGCCCTCTCTCTCTCTCATCTCTCTTTTATATCTCAAGCCCGTGCACCTCACGTCACGATCATCCTCAACCCTTTCACTCACCTGGATTACATACACAGTAAAATACAGTCAAACCATACACGGCGCCAAGGATACCCTTGCACATCACTACTACTACTACTACTACTACCGCTTACCTGGAGAGCATATACAGTCAAACACTTTCTTCACATCACTCTACTCCCACCGCTTACCTGGAGTTCATATACAGTCAAACACGTTTTCTTCACATCACTACTCCTACCGCTTCACTGGAGTGCATATACAGTCAAACACAGCGTTTAAAACAATAAATGGCTCCAAGGATATTCTTAAAACTGAAAAACAAAAGACAGTTTTGTCGGCAAACTGGTCACCTCCCCCCCTGCTGCCTCCACCTCTCTCTCAAAATGCCCGCCCGCCCGCGGCGAATTCAGGCTGGTCGCTCGCTGGCCATTTCACAGCAGTAGTCGAGATGCTCATTCATTATCGTCGTCGTCATAATTCGTTACAGCGTAAGCAGTCCGTTATGGTCCGTTACAGCGTAAGCAGTCCGTTATGGTCCGTTACAGCGTAAGCAGTCCGTTATGGTCCGTCACGAAGTAAGCAGCCACCCAGCCAGCTATGGCTGCCGATGAAGAACCACAAGGGTTTAGTGAAGAAGCAGACTGCAGGCCAAGAAAGGCGCGCGATCGCTCTTCCGCTTATCACGCCATTTACTCTAACTCCATCATCAATCAATCAATCAATCAAATTCCCATTCCGCTCGTCTTGATTCTTAGTTTGCGCATGCACCTAGTCGGAATTGCATCTTGATTCTTAGTGCGCCTCCGTGGCCTGCACTTGGTCGGTCGGAGTATATTGTTGCTGTTGTTATTGTTTTTGTCCTGTTGGAGAGACAGTGCAGCAGCTGCATGGGAAATACAGTACAGGATGAACCGTCGATGTCTGCTCAGTAGAGAAGCTCCTCGTAAATAGGATCGACGCTCTCCTTCCACGGGCCATAGTATAGCTTCAGCAACCTCTCCGCCGGTGTGACCCCCGTTTCAACAGTTTCTTCCAGCTCGCGTAGGAAACCACTTTCCTTGAACCCTCTTCTCTCTAGGCCGGCCTTGGATATCTTGAACACTTCCTGCGCCACGTGCTGAAGAAGGCCGCTTCGAAATGGAGTCTGAAGTCCGAGTTTAGGGACCTGATTTCTCAGCGTTGAGCGCTCCTCTTGCGTCCAGTCACTGATAAGCCCAAGGACATCTTGCAATGCCTGCTCATCATAAAGCAGGCCCACCCAAAAGGCAGGCAGCGCACACAGCCGCCGCCACGGCCCCCCATCCGCACCTCTCATCTCTAAGAACCGCTTTAGCCTGACCTCGGGAAAGATGGTCGTCAGATGGTTGTCCCAATCAATCAACGTCGGCGTTTCCCCTAACACTGGCTTTGCCCTCCCTTCCATGAAATCCCGAAAGGTGTAGGGCAAGCAGTTGACGTACTTCTTGTTCCTGTACAGGAAGTACATGGGCACGTCCAGCGCGTACTGCACATACTTCTCAAACGAGAAATCTTCATCGAACACCCACGGAAGATCCCCACTTCGGTCGTTGTCCACATCCTTCCATATCTCGCTTCGGTAGCTCACAAACCCGTTCGGCTTGCCCTCTTTGAAGGGGGAGTTGGCGAACAGCGCCGTCGCTATCGGCTGCAACGCAAGGCCCACCCTGAACTTATCGATCATATCTTGCTCTGATTCGAAATCAAGGTTCACCTGAACCGTGCAGGTACGGAACATCATGTCCAGCCCTCGAGTCCCGACCTTGGGCATGTAGTTGCGCATGATATCATACCTTCCCTTCGGCATTATCGGGATCTCAGGAACAGTCCACTTGGGGATAAATCCGGCTCCCAAGAACCCGAAGTTCAGCTCTTCGGCGACAGCTTTCACCTGGTACAAGTGCGTGTTCACCTCTGCGCACGTCTGGTGCAAGGTGTCGACAGGAGCACCGCTCAACTCAAATTGACCCCCAGGCTCCAGGGAAACGCTCTGGCCGCTCAACTGAAGGCCAATGATGTTGTCCCCCTCAAGCACCCTCTTCCAGTCGAACCTCTCTGCCAGGCTTTCGAGAATCGTGGCAATTTGCGAGTGATTCAATGGCCGCAGAGTGGCCATCTCAAAGCCGAACTTCTCGTGCTCCGTGCCAATCCTCCACATACTCTTGGGCTTGCAGCCGGCCCTCAAGTGATTGGTAAGATCTTCAACAGTTAGAGGTTCCGTGGAGACGGAGGAGACCTCGGGGGGGGGGCTGGCGGCCAAGGGCTGGACCACAGGGGATCGCGGACCGCGACGCGCAGCTCCGCGGGGAAGGCCATGACGGCGCGCACGCAGTCGGCGCAACCCAAAGCGCGCCGAGGATTGGTCGCATTGATGGGACGACCACGAGAGGCGCAGCGAAGCGCCGGACGACGAGGACGAAGCGGGAGAGGAGGAGGAGGAGGGGAGCTGACAGCCCCGAGAGCAACACGTGGCAGTTTGACAGCTCCCGCGCTCGCCGCCTCCGCTCGTCTCAGAAAAGCTGGCACTACCGAGCCGATGGGGGAATGCCGGAAGCCGCCGCGCGGACACCGCACCTGCGGATGCGCCTATCTCCGCTGAGTGCGATGCCAAGTCACCTACATGAACCGCGCCAACGCCGCGGGCAAGCGACGACGAAGCCATTCCGCTCCCAGTCCGATGGCCACCGAGGTGAAGGGCGAATGGCCGATGGCGCGGCGCGCGGCGACACAACGAACGAGCACAGTGCACGGGCTCCGCCACCCCTAAGCGCGCGCGCCAATCTTGTTCTTCCTCCGCCTCCTCCCACCCCCCGCTATTTCAGCCCAACAATAGCGCTCCAACCCCTAGCTGAAACAAATGGACTGCAGCCTCTACCCTCATCATGCTACAACCGCCCTTCCCTCTCTCTCTCTCTCTCTCTCTCTCTCTCTCTGTGTGTGTGTTATAATACTGTCTGGTAAAAGGCAGAGCCTCGAGCCGCTGATGCACCGCAGGCGCTGCACCCTGTACCCTCACCATGCTACAACCGCCATCCCCTCTCTCTCTCTCTCCCTCTCTGATAATACTGTCTTGTAAAGGGCAGAGCCTCGAGACGCTGATGCACAGCAGGCGCCGAGGAGAAGAAGGCCAGCTATCGCCGACGTTAGACCTCCAAGTTATGGCACCCGCGCCGGCAGATGCGCGGCCTCCACTACCCTCCTCTCGTCCTCCCACCTCCACCCCGCTCTACTCTGCTCTACGTTCCCACTCTCTAACACTGTTCACTCGCTAAGTGGGCAACCTGCTGGCAACACGTGAACGAGCTAACCGCCCGCGCGACGGCTCGACCCTTTTTGCTATATATTGCTGGAGGTACTCCGCCTCTCATCTGGGCCGCTCCATCGGAGTGAGATCTAACGCCCGGAAGGGAGGCCGCCAAACATCAAACATACTCCCTCCCCGTCCAGGCCCTGAACATGTGGCCTGGCCACCTTCACCCGAATAGAACGCCCGGTCATTATTGCCGCATGTAGACGGAAAACTGCACCAAATACGAGCACGGATGTGGCTGCTACGGGGTTCCCCGTAATACTATAATGACAATAAAAAAAAAGGCCTGAAAGGCCGTACTGTCCAGATTTGACAGGTAGTTGAATTGGTTGGGCGATGTACGTGAACTATCCTAATTCGTTTTCTTTCTTCTTTTTTTCAACCAAACCACTTGGGTATTATAACATGTCAAATCGAGGCCCTGGCACATTTCGAGAGCTGGGGACTGGTTTGCGAAATAGGGCTAGCGCTGGTGCTGCGCACTCTGCCCTAGCTCTGCCAGCCTTTCGGCGAGCCTGACCAGCAGCCTAGATTCCACCGAGGAACCCTTGACTGCGGTGAACACCTCCGTGGTGCTTCGTGTTGACGAAGACCTGTGGCTTCGCCATAGCTGATGGTGTTAGAGGTTAGTCTCTCGCCCGCCCCCCCCCCCCCCCCCCTCTCCCTCTTATATTGTTCTTATCTACTCTTTAACTGTCGTCCTACTGTTTATCCCAATTCCTCTTGTTCTGTTCTGGGTAGCTCCTACGCTCCGAGTCAATGGAGGTTGAACCGCCTCCTGCTCCCCCCCCTCCCCATGGAGAGGGTGATGCAAGAGGTCAGGTCCCGAATGACTATCGTTGGAGGAAGAGCGTGTATCAGAGATGGTTCGTGCATGTTACGAGGAAGGCATCCTTCCTACAGAGATTGACGGAGGCTCCATGGAAGTTGACGGAGAGAGGTGAAGTTCACACTGAATAGCTTGGTGGATGAAGTGAAGGTAAAGTGGTTGAAAGCAAGAATGGTTACCATCATCTTCAGGGCGGGAGTTAGATTCTTACCCAAGAAGGTGAAGGAAGATGCTATTAGGGCGTACGAAGATGGTTGGATTCGTGGCGACACATTTGGAGCAGAGTTTAAGAGAGGCCGGATCAAGGTGGAAAGTCCATACGTGGTCTCGTATGGCCCTAGAGTACAAAGGATTACCGACTAGATGTTGAACAAGAAGACGGACTACATTGACCTGGGCGACACTACCTATCGGACGGACTTCAAACCCTGGATGACTAGGGGTGAAGTTTGGGACTGGCGGAGAACAATTGATGAGAATGTATTTTGGGTAGTGGTTGTGGGCGTGCCACTAGAGCAAAAAGTTTTCTTGTACAATCACGTGGAGAAAGCTGTCGGGAAGATCCTCAAGGTTCATACTCCGGAGGCGGATGAGACGGACCCCAAGTTGGTCAACATGCGCTTTGATATTGATCCAGACAAGAGAGGTAATATGAAGGATAAATTGCTGATACATACCCGCCAATCCAACACTCTGGAGGTAAGATTGGCAGATGCGAAGACGGATTGGTGCAGGCGTTGCCGTACCTTCTTTCATACACAGTCGACTTGCAGACGTCCCGGTCGAAGGACCCAAAGAGGAGGTCAATCGGTCAACATCAACAACCCTCAGGCCTCGACCATCTCGGGAACAGGAGCTGCTCGCCCGACATATCAAGGGCCTCTTCGCCACCCAGGAGCGACAACCCAGCAATCTCAAGGAGTACTCAGAAACGAAGATAGCGCCAGCAACCAGGGCGCCGCGGTGCTCATATCGAATCCGATCTTCAACCCCTCGCCTGTTCCAGGAACCAACGCGAGCAGTCGGCAGGGAGTTGCATGTCTAATGAATCCGGCCACGAATCCGGTCTAGGCCACATATCTCCAAAACTTACCTCAGCATCCATTCCTACATCAACAACAAGGAGTCTTTGTTGACCAGTTTCTCGGTGCAAGCCCATCACTCGCCAATCTACATGCATTCACACCATGGCCCTATGGTCAGCTAGGCACTTCTTGGATTCAGCCATAAGGTGGTGTAGGATTCCCGTCTATCCCGACAGGTTCTCAACTGCAGGGAGGAAGTCGTATCAGGGGTGAATCTCCAAGAAAACAACGACGAGTTAGCAATGGTGAGGGAGTGGAAATTTGGATGGATGAGTTGCATGCAGAACCCTCAGGTAGCTCGAACGAAGGCTCTCTTCGTTATGTCTCTTGTACCCCCTCCAGTGCCACAGGTAAGCGCAAACAGCCCCGCCAACGCATGAAAGCTCTTTCTAAAGGGCAATCCAGCTTGGATACGAAACTTCTCCCGATTGTCTGCACGATGGCTAGAGATTCTTGTTGGGTTATTGCTTGAGCAGGTATAGATGGTCATTCTATTTTCTTCAATCTTTCCTGCCCAGAATCTCCTATGCCGCATGCCTCCGAATCTTCGACACGTAACTTATTCCAACACCGCTTTTCCCTACGAATCATTGCTGAAGTTTCCATGACCTTCTTTATTATTGATTTGGTCAGTAGCAGAGTAAAATTGTTTGCTCCTCTATTCGACACTCGTTTTCTCCCCGGGCAATTGGATCAGCTTGAGCGAGAGGGTATGAGGTTGATCCCAATAGCGTGGTTCTTATAAGCTAGGAAAACAGATCTCCGACGGATCAAAGTCTCTCCCACACAAACGGTAGAGTTCTTGTCCGAATTGAACTCGAAGCTTGGTAAGGATAAGAAGCTGGATTCGGCCTTGATCCGTAATGCCTTGACGGAGCCTTGGCTGCAACAGACGAACACATCCCTAATCCAACAATCGGGTGTTGCCCTGGGAGATGGGCATAATTAAAATCGCCACATGGAATATCCGTGGATTGGGAGATGCTAACGGCAGGAACAAAACGAGTCGTTTAAAGAGTTAGGCTCACAATAAGAAAGTTGATATTATTTGTCTACAGGAAACTAAACTATCGGAAAACAAGGTCTTAAAACTGGGCAATTGGTGGGATGGACCGCAAATTTTGTCTCCTGCGAGGTCTAAAGGTGGGGTATCTATATTGATCCATCACAATATTAATGTTGAAATTATAGATTTTTTTGCAGATTTATGGGGCACGTGGTCGTGGGTCAAGATTTGGATGGACGAGAGGGAATGGGTTATTGCTACAGTGTATGCCCCTAACAATTGTTCGGAGAGAGAATCTTTCTTCTCAGACCTTCCTCTGTTTTTCCCAAAATGCGACAACACGATTATGACAGGGGATTGGAATGTCTCCTTTGACAAAGGTGAGGGAATCAGAGGAAGTAGAGATGTAAAAGTATTGACTGACCTTGACCTCATTGAGCCTTTCTGCCTCTCCATCCAAACAACCCTGGATTTACTTGGACATCGAATATTCGGGAAGGCTGAGGTTCAACTCAACGGAGGTTGGATTTTTTCTTATTTTCTCCGCCAGTTTGGAATGGCACAGTAGACATCACTGAAACTCCGAACCCAATTTCGGATCACAAACCAGTAGTAGCCACTCTGAATGCGCTCAAATTAGACAGGGTCCCATGTTATTTTCGTGTCAATACTCAAATGTTAAAAAAAACAGGGGTGGTTGATTGGATGCACAAATTTTGGATAGACCGGAAAAATAACAGAGATCTTTTTGTAACTACTGAGGCCTGGTGAGAGTCGAAATCTCGTATTTTCTCCAAGCACCTCAATATTTTTTCCCGCATTTTAGCAACCGGAAGGAACCAACGGGGGGAGTCTTTAAGGAAAAAAGTGGAATATGCTAAGTTTCGAATTAGTCTTCATCTCGTCTCCAATCTTGTTTGGAGTCCTATCAGGGAACGCCACATGGCAGAATGGAATGTCTTTCAACAAGAGCAATCAGAAATTTGGATAGAGAAACTAAAAGTTAAGGGGATTGCGGTGTATGACCGCATGACTAGAGATTCCTTTTAAAAACTCTTGCCAAAGAGGTTGACTCAGTTGATGGGTGAACTCTCACATCCCTTTGATCACGACTTGCCGGTTGCACGAGATCAGACTATACTGTGCAACTATGCTGCACTGTATTACCGTGATATCCTCACGACAAGACGTCCAAATAAGGATATCACCAAGGATCTAACTGCGGGATCTACCTACTGGCTTGTGTATAATGTTAGATTATCTATACCAGGCAGGTTGGACATGGATCGTCCTACTACCACAAAGGAAGCCTGGGAAGCCCTCCAATGAATGGCTCACGGTAAAGCACTGGGGGACGATGGTCTCCCACTAGAGGTTTACCTGACAATTTGGGAAGATGTGAAAGATGAACTAATTGATATCTATAATCAAATACTTGTAGGAGACCAACTCTCGAAAAGAATGCGCAATGGAAATATCTCTCTGTTATATAAGAAAGGAGACAGACCAGAGATTAGGAACTGGCGTCCTATCTCTGTACTAATGTTTCCTACAAGCTACTAGCTAAAGTACTGGCTCGTCGCTTGGGTCGATATCTACCCACATTGGTAGAAAAAGACCAGGCGACCTTTGTCCAAGGCCGTTCGATATTTGATAATATGGTGACTGTTATCGAGGCATTGAAAATTGTTGAATCCACCAAAGCCAATACCACAATTTTAATGTTAGATCTGGAAAAAGCCTATGATACGGTAAATTGGACCTATGTCCTAACTACTCTTAGGCATGTAGGCTTTAGAGACAACTTATGCAAATGGGTGGTGGCCTTGTACTCGATGTCAACTGCTTCTGTAATGGTTAATGGCTATAGCTCTGATCCTTTTTCTCTCACGCGCTCCCTACGACA